TTTTCGGTCATTTCTGAAATATTTGAATCAATATTTTTTACTCCACTTACAACTTAATCCGGTCCTGCTACTCCCAAAATATTTTGTAATTCAGAGAATTCCATGAAAGACTATAAAAAAAAATTTCACGAACAATGCGAATTCTAATAATTTTGAAAAAACTGTTCCTGCTAACAAAATATTTCTGATGATGAGACCTAAATTCCGGCTCGGGTAACAACGCCGACCTCCGATGAAATAAATCGGCAGGGATGGCACCGGTTAATTAATCGACCGATTAATTCTACCCCGCGCGTAACGCGTTCCTCTGTCACGTGCAATTATTGGGATTGTTGGTGCGCGACGACGCGACACGTCGAGGTGGGCGGCCTTAAAGGTTTCCGCGGGGCATGATATTGCTTTCGCGTTGCTCCGAGCCGAGGCCGAGGGAGGCCAATTAACTCGAGCGATTGCTCGCGCATAACGACGATCCGGCGATTATCGCCCCCGGTGCGAAACCTTCGTTAAACTTCATCCCGCCGATCCTTCCCGGCCTTAATCTGATCCCATTTTCACAAAAGACTCTCCATTTTTCCAAACGAATCGCTCGCTCCCGTTTGTTTGTTTATAGGAAAATTATTTGAGAATTGGCAAAAAAAAATTGATTAAACGTTATAATGACGATTATAATGATTTTTTATTGAAAACTTATACAGGATGTCTCAGAAAAAGTGTTAGAGCCGAAAAGGGATGATTCTGGAAGTGTTTCTGAACAAGAATTTCCTTTGACAAAATGCAAAGTGAGCCATGGTTCTCGAATTATTAAGGAAAAGCACTGACCAATGAGAGCGCGTGTAAGGCCTGCACTGACCAATGGCCGAGCGCCACGATTCGAGTCACCACCGCCATGGCTGAGCGCGGGCCCTACTCGTGCTCTTATTGATCAGCGTTTTTCGTTAATAATTCAAAAACCATGACTCACTTTGTATTCTGGCAAAGGAAATTGTTGTTCAGAATTACCCTTTTTCGTATCTAACATTTTTTCTGAAACACCCTGTATTTTAATTACAAATAATTGTTAGAAGCGAATTGTTAAGCGTGAAGAAGTTATTAGAGTGACGTGGGCTAAGCTAAACAAAATATTCGAGCGAAATTGCGGTGTTTTAGATAGGAAACGAGTTTAATTTAACTTTTTAATTAAAAACTGAAGCCGGGGGAAATGTTCGGAAAACAGAAGATTGAACTTAGAGACTGACTGAAAGCGCAGCGTATATACACGCGGATCGATGGAGTACATGTGCTCGTAGTACATACGCTTTGCGTACCTTTTTTCTCATCTATCAATACATAACACCGTTCCAATAACTGGGAACAATGCCGTTTGTTTCCGGCTATTCGCTTCCTCTTTCACGTCCGTCCGGTCCGACGGTGCGTCGAGGGAGGAAAAAAAGAAACACGCGAGGCTCGCTTTATATGTTCCGAAAAGTCCATTTGGCGATCTGCCGGGCGCGTCTGTTAGCCCGGACTAACTGGCTTTACCGTTTCGAATATTTGGTAATTAATGGGCTCTGTTCCGAACGAAACCGCGGGCGCGGCGCGTGCCAGGCAAACCGGGGCAGCGATAAAAGTTAATGGAACATCCGCGGAAAGATAAATTCGCGACACGACGACTCTTCTTCCC